ATATATATATATATATATATATATATATATATATAATTTTTCAACAGTCCAATTAAAACTTCATTATTTGCAACACAAAAATAATTTCACATTAATTTCGACATTGCAGAATAACACTAATACTGCACATTATCTATTTATCTCCTAGTATTTTATTAAAGAAATAAGATAAAATAAAATGACATCATGCCAAAAAAAACAATCACATTGAACTATTTATTCTCAATACAAACAAACTGTAATAATATCTAACTTTATATGTCAAGTATGAAACAAAATTAACATATACTTTAATAATTCTTGAACTTCCATTAATGCTATCATGCAGAAGTTCCAATCTCTAACTAGCAAAACAAAAAAATAGGATGTGAATTTTCACATTGTATAGTTCATTCAAATGTAAAAAATATGATCAGTATTTCTTTGAGACCTCTTGACAGTTTCTTATCTTGACGTTACAAGATACAATACTACATATTTTTTTTAGCAATTAATTAATGACCTTTTTATTCTTGTTTGAGGAAAAAAATATTTTCTTCAAAAAATGAATATTATCTAATATATTTTAAAAAAATTAAATTATATATACCAATAATTGTAAATTTAATACTGAATTCTTAAATTTGTTGGAATTTTTCATTTAGATAATTGATGAAGTAAGGCTTCGTTCCCTCAACTTCAATAAAGTTTTCAAATGCGATCCACATTTTCTCTCAAGACCTCCTGACAATTTCTTATATTGATGTTACAAGATACAATATTAAATGCTTGTGTTTTTTTTCCAGTAATTGATTAATGACCTTTTAATTTTATTTTTTTTCAACAAGTGATTAATGACCTTTTAATCTTTGTTTGAGGCAAAAATATATTTTTCAGCAAGTGATTAATGACCTTTTAATGCATAATATTTCTTAAATTTGTTGGAATTTTCCGTTTAGATAGGCTTTGTTCCCTCAACTTCAATAGTGTTCAAACTAGACAATTTTGAATTTTTTTTAAAAAAAAACAGTTGTGTGCTTCAATTTATCTATTGAATTGTTAAATAATTAATAACATATATTATATTTTTCAAAAAAATTATATATAACACATAAATAATTCTACGTTAACACTGAAATGGCATATTATCAACTTATAAAAATGTATCGTTAGAGAGAAATAAAATTTTAAAAAAATAACGTTATGTCAAAAGAGAACTATCAAATTGAACTATTTATTCTCAATAAAAATAAATTGTAATTATTTCTAACTGAAATATTAAGTATAAAAATAAATTAACACATACTTTTATAACTCTTGAACCTTTATTGATGCCACATGTTTATGCATGTAGAAGCTTCAACCTCTAACTAGCAAAACAACAAAAAATAAAACGCAAACTTTCACATTGTTTCAAAAAATATGTCAGTATTTTTTGGAGACCTCTTGCCAGTTTCTTATCTTGGCGTTACAAGATACAAAACTACTTGCTTGTTATTTTTCAGCAATTATTTAATGACCTTTTTATTCTTATTTGAGGAAAAATTATTTTTCATTAAAAAATAATTAAATAATTAAATTTAATATATTTAATATTCATATCATATATACTAATAATTGTAAATTATACTACCTGCTTGTTATTTTTCATGTTTAATGACCTTTTTATTCTTGTTTGAGGAAAAAATTATTTTTCATAAAAAAATGATTAAATAAATAAATTTAATATATTTAATATTCAAATTAAATATACTAATAGTTGTAAATTTAATACATAAAATGCCTTAAATTTGTTGGAATTTTTCGTTTAGATAATTGATGAAGTAGGCTTTGTTCGCTCAGCTTCAATAAAGTCTTCAACTTGGGCAATTTTGAATTTTTTTAAAAACAAAATATTGTGTGCTTTAATTTATCTATTGCGTTGTTAAATTAATAACATAAAATATATTAATTTTAAAAAAAGTTATACAACACACATGAATAATTCTAAATTAACACTAACATTACACATTGTCAGTTTGCCTCCTTTTACTGTTTGAGAGAAATAAAATAAAAAAATTGATTATTCTCAATACAAACAAATAGTAATTACCTCTTAAGTGTTTCATATAAAATAAAATTAACACGCACTTTTATAACTCTTGAACCTTCATTGATTTCATATGTTTATTATGCATGTAGAAGCTTTAACCTCTCACTAGCAAGACTTCAAAAAAATAAAAGCAAACTTTTACATTGTAAAATTTATTCGAATAAAAAATATGCGATCGTTATTTTTTAAAAAATTCTTAACAGTTTCTTATCTTAACGTTCCAAGATACAATATCACGTATTTATATTATATCCAACAATTGATTAATGACCTTTTTTATCCTAGTTTGAGGGGGGAAAGTTATTTTTCTTCAAATAATATTAGATTGTAAATTTAATACATAATTTGGGATATTTTCGTTTAGATAATTGATAAAGTATGTTTCATACCCTCAACTTCAATAAAGTGTTCAAATTAGACAATTTTGGAATTTTTTTTAAAAAAAATTGTGTGCTTTAACTTATCTATTGAACAGCTAAGTAAACAATATAAAATATAACATTTTAATAAAAATCATATACACTAAACTCAAGTAAAAATGTCTAAAGGTTTAGTTTAATTGTTAAAATGAATATATATAATTAAAGTGAATGATACATTTATGCGATCAACTTTACTGCTTAGCAAATTAAAAGAATGAAAACACAGGGGCAAAAAAGTCTATTCATATTATGTGATTAGCTTTACTACTTAGCAAATTAAAAGAAGGATAACAAAAAGGGAAAAAATAAGCAATTAATATCAAAAGCATGTAAGAAAAACGGTCAGGTTACTAGCTAATTCCATATTAATTCTATCAAGGAAAATAGAGCTAAGTTCTTGAATGATTTAAGTATAAAACAAAATTAAAATATACTTTAGTAATTCTTGAACCTTCATTGATGCCCCATGTTTATGTATGCAAGCAACTTCAATCTCTAACTAGCAAAATATCAAAAAATAAAAAAGCAAATTTTCACAATATGAAATTAATTCAAGTGCCAAAAAACGTGGTTGGTATATTTTTAAAAATTTCTTGATCGTTTCTTATCTTGATGGTTACAAGATACAATATTACATGTTTGTTTTCTTTTTAGCAACTGATTAATAACCTTTCTATCCTTGTTTGAGAAAAAAAATATTTTCTTCAAAAAATTATTAAATTATCTATATTTTTAAGATTTAAATTATATATAATAGTAATTGCAAATTTAATTTCTAAACTATCTTACTATTTAGTAATAGTACTATACGTAGACAACTCGATTAAATTCAATGCACCATAATTTGTTCTTGTAATAGTTACATGTAATCACAGTTTTAATACACTAGGAGAAAAATCATCTTGCTAATAGTGTATGATTATGTGCTAAATCATGCTGATATATAATCCAAAAACTCTTAAGTTGCCTTCCTCAGCTATGAATTACTCACTTCATCAAAGCACCAAACAATCTTCTCTTTTTCATCCTTTACTTTGCATTCTCCATATTTTTCTTCTTCTATTCTATTGCTATGAATTCTCTTTATAATGAGTGCTGTGCTAAGGAGGTGCGAGTAGAACTTTGTAACATTGAGGAAGAAATAAATTAAAAAATGTTTAAATTAGACAATTTTGAAAAGTTCTTTTTAAAACAAAATATGTACTTTAATTTATTTATTGAATAGTTAAGTTAATAACATAAAATATATTATTTTAAAAAAAAGTTATAAACACACCTGAATAATTTTACATTCACTAACATTGCACACTAACACTGATATAGCACATTATTAATTTATCTCCTGTTACTGTTTGAAAGAAATAAAATCAAAAAAGTTGACGTCCCTCCCCCACCAAATTGAACTACTTATTCTCAATACGAACAAAAAGTAATTATCTCTTTACTTAAATGTTAAGTATAAAATAAATTAGCACATACATTTATAACACTCTTGAACACAATAATTCTACATTGACAACAACGCTGCACGGTAACAACTCATCTCCTTGTATTATTTTAGAGATATAAAACCAAAAAAACAAACATCATGTTAGTAGCGAATCACCAAATTGAACTACTTATTCTGAATACAAGCAAATTGTAATTATCTCTAATAAGTGTTTAACTACAAAACAAAATTAACTCATTCATTTATAACTCTTCGATCTTCATTGATGCCACCTGTGTATGCATGCATAAGCTTCAACCTCTATCTAGCAAAATAACAAAAAAATAAAAAAATCTAACTTTCACATTGTAAAATTCATTCAAGTGCCAAAAAAATGTGGTTGATATTTTTTAGAGACTTCGTGACAGTTTCTTATCTTGGTGTTATAAGATACGATATTACATGCTTGTTATCTTTCGAGCAATTGATTAATGACCTTTTAGCCTCGTTGAGGATAAAAAATATTTTCCTTCAAAAAGTGATTAAATTATCTGATACATATAACATTTTAACAAAAATTATATACACTAAGTATAAAATGTCTCAAGGTTTACCGCTTAATTATAAAAATGAATATATATAATTTATAAAGAGGATATATTTATGTGATTAACTTTACTACTTAACAAAGTAAAAGAATAAAACACACAAGGAAAAAAATCAACTAACTTAAATAAAAAACATGTAATTAAACACGGATAAAGTTACTAGCTAATTCCATATTAACTCTATCAAAGAAATAGAAGCTAAGTTCTATGTTTAGACTGCTTGGGATTGAAAATGAAATGACCTAAAAGAAAGAAAATAGTTAAGGTTCTAACTGCTTCAAAAAGATTTGTCTATTTCATTGTGGAAAAAAAATTACAATTAATTTTTCAAACGATCGACACAATTACAGCTTCATTATTTACAATACACATAAATGATTCTACATAAATATTAACACTGATATTATATATTAACACTGATATTTTATATTAACATCGACATGACACATTATCAATTTATTTCTTTGTACTGTATGAGAAAAATAAAATTAAAAAAAGTCATGCAAAAAAAAACATCAAATTGAACTTCTAATCCTCAATACAAACAAACTGTAATCATTACTAACTTAAATATTAAGTATAAAATAAAATTAACATATACTTTTATAATCTTGAACACACAAATAATTCTACATTTAGTCTAGCACTGAACACTAACTTAAATGTTAAGAATAAAATAAAATTAACATATACTTTTATAATCTTGAACACACATAAATAATTCTACATAAACTCTAGCATTGAACACAATTAATTTATCTCCTAATACTATTTCATAGATATAAAATTAAAAAAATTGATATCACTCTAAAAGAGAGACACCAATTTGAACCACTTATTCTTAATAATACAACTAACTATAATTATTTTAACTTAAATATTAGGCATAAAACAAAATTAAAACATACTTTAACGATTCTTGAACTTTCATTGATCCCACATGCTTGTACATGCAGACAACTTCAATCTCTAACTAGCAAAATATTAAAACTAAAAAAAAACTTCCACATTGTAAAGCTTATCCGAGTGCAAAAAATGTGATCAATTTTTTTTGGAGATTTTCTGGTCGTTTCTTTTCTTGACGTTACAAGATACAATACTACATGTTTGTTTTCTTTCTAGCAACTGATTAATGAATATCTTATTCTTGTTTGGAGAAATAAATTTATTTTCTTCAAAAAAAATTATCAAAGTATCTAATATATTGAAGATTTAATATATAATACTAATAATAGTAAATTTAATTATCTACACTTTGTTACTGTTTAAAAGTAGTACTATTTTATAGACAACTCTCCATTAAATTTAGAACATAATGTTTGATTCTTGTAACATTTACATATAATCACATTTTAATACAGTGGGAGAAGAAGTCACCTTTCTACTAGTGTGAATTATGTGCTAAGCCATGCATGCTAGCTTCCCTCACTATATATCACTCGCTTCATCACTCCATCAAAGCACATACTGATTTTCTCTTTTTCTTCCTTTACTTCGCTTTCTCCATGTTTCTTCTTCTCCTCTCTATTGTTGTGGGTCCCTTGGTAACAAAGGTGGTAGAAAAGAAATTATTAACATTGAAGAGGAAATGGATTATTTACAATAAACATAAATAATTCTACATTAACGCATACATTGCACATTAACACAAATATTGCACATTAACACAACATTATATATTATCAATTTATCTCTTTATATTGTTTGAGAAAAATAAAAATAAAAAAATCAACATCATGCCAAAAAAGAACCACTTATTCTCAATACAAACAAACTGTAATTATCTCTAACTTAAATGTTAAGTAAAAAACAAAATTAAAACATACTTTTATAACTCTTGAACACACATAAATAATACTACATTAATAATAGCATTGCACACATTCAATTTATCTCCTTGTACTATTTCATAGGTATAAAACCAAAAAATTTGTTATCATTCTAAATGAGAATTACCAAACTAAATCACTTATTCTTAATACAACTAACTATAATTATCTTTAACTTGTATATTAAGTATAAAACAAAATTAAGACATACTTGATTCTTGAACCTTCATTGATGCCACATGTTTATGCATGCATGCAACTTCAACCTCTTAACTAGCAAAATACCAAAACTAAAAAGCAACTTCATCAATTTTTTGGAGATTCCTGACTGTTCCGTTATAAGATACAATACTACAAGCTTATTTTCTTTCTAGCAACTGATTAATGAATTTTTTATCCTCGTTTGAGTAAAATAATTATTTTTCTTCAAAAATTTATTAAAGTATCTAATACATTTAAGATTTAATATATAATACTAATAATTGTAAAATTAATACATTATGTTACTGTATAAAAGTAGTACTATATTGTAGATAACTCCTCATTAAATTTAATGCACAATCTTTTATTCTTGTAACAGTTAGTACAGTAGAAGATAAAATCACCTTTCTAATAGTGTCGATCATGTGCTAAGTCATGCATGATAGCTTCCCTCACTATATATCACTCCGTTCATCACTCCATCAAAGCACACAATAATCTTCTCTTTTTTTTCCTTTACTTTGCCTTCTCCATTTTTCTTCTTTTCTCTCTATTGTTATGAGTCTCTTCGTAACTAAGGCGGTGCTGAAGGGGTGCAAGTAGAAATTATTAACATTGAGGAGGAAATTGATTATCTACAATAGACATAAAAAATTCTACATCAACACAGACATTGCATGTTAACACAAATATTGTACATTAACGCTGACATTGCACATTATCAATTTATCTCTTTGTATTGTTTGAGAAAAATAAAATGAAAAAAATCAAACATTATGCCAAAAAAGAACCACTTATTCTCAATACAAAAAAACAGTAATTATCTCTAACTTAAATGTTAAGTAAAAAAAAATTAAAACATACTTTTATAACTCTTTAACACACATAAATAATTCTACATCAGCACTAGCATTGCACACAATTGATTTATTGTCTTGTACTATTTCATAGATATGAAACCCAAAAAACTGATATCATTCTAAAAGAGAACCACCTAACTAAACTACATATTCTTTATACAAACTAACTGTAATTATCTCTAACTTATATGTTAGGTATAAAATAAAATTAAAACATGCCACATGTTTATACATGCAGGCAGACAATTTCAACCTCTAACTAGCAAAACACCAAAACTAAAAAGCAAGCTTTCACATTATAAAGTTCATCCAAGTACAAAAAATGTGGACGATTTTTTGGGAGATTTCTTGACCATTTTTTTATCTTGGCATTACAAGATACAATACTACAAGCTTAATTTCTATCTAGCAACTGATCAATAACCTTTTTATCCTAGTTGGAGGGGAAAAATTATTTTTCTTCAAAAAAGTATTAAATTATCTAATATATTTAAGATTTAAATTATATATACTAATAATTGTAATTTTAATCATCTAAACTATGTTATTGTTAAGAAGTAGTACTGTACTGTAGACAATTCTCCATTTAATTAAATGCACAAAACTTAGTTCTTGTAACAGCTACATATAATCACATTTTTAACGAACGGTCACAATTTCAACTTCATTATTTACAACACAAAATAATTTTGCATTAACAAAGACACTGCACATTATCATTTTATCTCTATGTCGTGTTTTGAGAAGAGTAAATAAAAAAAAATCAATGTCATGCCAAAAGGAATCATCAAATTGAACTACATATTTCCAATACAAACAAGTACAAAATAAAATTAATATATATTTTTATACCTCTTGAACACGCACAAATAATTCTACATTAACACGCATAAATAGTTACACATTAACATTAGCACTGCACATAATCAATTTATTGGCTTGTAATATGTCCTAGATATAAAACCAAAAAAAACTAGTGTCATTTTAAAAGAGAACTACCAAATTGAACTAATTATTCTCATACAAACTAACTATAATTATCTTTAACTTGAATGTTAAGTATAAAATTAAAAAAAAAAAGAACATACTTGAACCTTCATTGATGTCACATGTCTATGCATGCAAGCAACTTCAATCTCTAACTACCAAAACACCAAAATGAAAAAGAAAACATTGTATACAAGTGCAAAAAATATGGACGGTTTTTTTTTGGAGATTCTTTGTCCATTTCTAATCTTGGCGTTACAGATGCAATACTACAAGCGTGTTTTCTTCTAGCAATTCATTAATGACCTTTTTATAATGACATTAACAGAGACATTATAAATTATCAATTTATCTATTAGTAATATTTGAGAAAAACAAAATCAACGTTGTGGCAAAAAAACCCATCAAATTAAACTACTTATTCTCAATACAAAGAAACTGTAATTATCTCTAAATTGTTAAGCATAATTTAAAATTAACACATACTTTTATAACTCTTGAACGCACATAAATAAATATACATTAACACAAATAATTTTACATTAACACTACCATTGCACACAATCAAAATATCTCAATACAAACTAAATGTAATTATTTCTAACTTAAATGTTAAGTATAAAACAAAAGTCAAACATATTTTAATGATTCTTGAACCTTTATGACGCCACATGTTTATGCATGCGAGCAACTTCTTTCTAACTAGCAAAACACCAAAACAAAAAAGCAAACTTTCATATTATAACGTTTATCCACGTACAAAAAATGTGGTCTGTTTTTTTTTGAAGATTTCTTAGCCGTTTCTCATCTTGGCGTTACAAAATACAATACTACAGGCTTGTTTTCTTTTTAGCAACCGATTAAATGACCTTTTTATCCTTGTTTGAGGAAAAATATTATTTTTCTTCAAAAAATTATTAAATTATATAATATATTTAAGATTTAAATTATATACTAATAATTGTAAATTTAATTATCTAAACTATGTTACTGATATAAAGTAGTACTATACGGTAGAAAATTCTCCATTAAATTTAATGCACAATACTTGAATCTTGTAACAGTTTCATATAATCACAGTATTAACACAGTGAGAGAAACAACCACCTTGCTAATAGTGTGGATTATGTGCCAAGTCATGCATGCAAGCAAATAATCCAAAAACACTCAAGTTGCTTCCCTCACAATATATCACTCAGTTCATCACTCCATTAAAGCACAAAATAATCTTCTATTTTTCTTCCTTTTACTTTGCTCAAGTAGAAATCATTAAGATTGAGGAAATGGATTATTTAAAACACATATAAACATTTCTACATTAGCATCGATATTGCACATTATCAATTTATCTCTTTGTAATGTTTGAGAAAAAAATTAAAAATTAATGTCATGCCAAACTAACTGTAATTATATCTAACTTAAATGTTAAAGTAAAAAATAAAATTAACATGTACTTTTATAACTCTTGAACGCACATAAATAATTCTACATTAACACACATAAATAATTATACATTAACACTAGTGTTGCATACAATCAATTTATCTCCTTGTACTCTTTCATAGATATAAAACCAAAAACAGCGGTGGCATTTTAAAAGAGAACGACCAAACTGAACTATTTATTCTTAAATACAAACTAACTAACTAACTGTAATTATCTCTACATTAAATGTTTAGTATAAAAATAAATTAGAACATAATTTAATCATTCTTCTACCTTCAATGATGCCACATGTTTATACATGCAGGCAACTTAACGCTAACTAGCAAAACACCAAAACTAAAATTCAAACTTTCACATTGTAAAGTTCATCCAAGTGAGAAAATTGTGGACGTTTTTTTGGGTATTCCTTGGCTGTTTTGTATCTTTGGCGTTACAAAATACAATCCTACAGACTTGTTTTCTTTCTAACAACCGATTAATGACATTTTTATCCTTATTTGAGGAAAAAAAATATTTTTCTTCAAAAAATTATCAAATTATCTAATATATTTAAGAAATATTATCTATACTAATATTGTAAATTTAATTATCTAAACTTCCCATTAAATTTAATGCACAATACATGGTTCCATATAATCACATTTTTAACACAGTGGGAGAAGAAACCACCTTGCATGCTAGCGTATAATCCAGAAACACTTCCTTCCCTCACTATATATCACTCACTTCATCACTCCATCAAAGCACAAAGTAATCTTCTCTTTTCTTCTTTTACTTTGGTTTCTCCATTTTTTCTTCTCTTCTTTCTATTGTTATGGGGTCTCTTCGTAAAGAAGGTGGTGCTAAGGAGGTGCAAGTAGAAATTATCAATCTTGATGAGGAAATAGAGAAAAGATCAGAAAAAAGTGTAGGTGAAATTCGTCCTTTAGATGTAAAATATTATGAAGATAATGGGTTAATCTTAGATTTGAAGAAATTAGGTGAAACTAATTATGAAAGTGCTGGCATAGATTTTAATGCCATGTTTTCTGATTTTTTACTAGAAGATGAAGAAAAGGTGATGGAATTTACTCCTTATGAGAAGGAAATTATTAATCCTCCTGTGGTGTTGTCTTCAACTGTTTCATCATTAATGGAATTAGAAAAATTGATGGAAATTCCTCCTCCAAATGAGGGATCATCATTAGCTACTAAAGCTAATTGGGACTTTGAACTTATGGAGTGGATTTGGTCACCTTACACTTATGCAGAGTACCTTCGCTATGATAAGAAAAACAAGATACCCCATCTCGTGGATTAATTTTTTGTAAGTTTTTATTTTCGGTTTTAAGTCTCTGGGAAATTTGATCGGGTTATTATTTTTCTACCAATTTTATTTTTCTCTTTTCTGCATGTAATGTATAACGTAAAAGTTCTTTTATCTTAGATTTCACGTCAAAGCACAATTAAATTAAATCCTAGCTACTTCATAAAATTATTAAATTATCTATTATATTTAAGATTTAAATTATATATACTAATAATCATAAATTTAATATCTCCACTATGATATTATTTAGATGTAGTACTATAATCACATTTTTAATACAGTGGGAGAAAAAACACCTCGCTAATAGTGTGGATTATGTGCTAACTGCTAAGTCATACATGCTAGTATATAATCCAAAAACACTAAAGTTAATTCTCTTCTCTTTACGAGTCTCTTCGTAACGAGGAAGGTGCTAAGAAGGTGCAAGTCGAAATTAACATTGAGGAAACGAATTATTCACAACCCACATAAATAATTCTAAATAAACACAGACATTGCACATCAACACTGATATTGCACATCAACACTAACATTGCACATTATAAATTTATCTCCTTGTACTTTTCGAGAAAAATAAGATAAGAAAATCAACGTCATGCCAAAAATGAACCTACAAATTGAACTACTTATTTTCAATACAACAAATTGTTATTATATCTAACTTCAATGTTAAGCATAAAATAAAATTAACACATACTATTATAACTCTTGTACACAAAAATAATTCTACATCAACACACCTAAATAATTCTACATTGGCACTAGCATTGCAGACAATCAATTTATCTCCTAGTACTATTTCATAGATAAAAACCAAATAACTCGTGTCATTCTAAAAGAGAACCACCAAACTAAACTATGTACTCTCAATACGACTAACTGTAATTATCTCTAATTTAAATGTTAAGTATAAAAAAAATTATAAAATACTTCGCTTCAATGATTCTAGAACCTTCATTGATGTCACATGTTTATGCATGTAG